AAAGGAGCATCTTGTCGGTCTCTAAGGGGGACTCATATCCATGGCAATATTCATGGCACAGGCCAGACAAGCAACAGCCCGGACGGACCCCCACGTGCCCAATGGCTGTAGCGAGATGACGCAAGGAGCCCCAGCCCCCAAGACGATCATGAGATTGGCTTAAAAATCACAAGATTCTGGAGGGGAAATAACAATGTCGGGGTTCTTCATGTGGATCGTTCGGAGTCATGTTAGCAAGCCTGCCTCTGCAGCCAGGCAGGTGAGACACTTCCTTCTTTTTAATGAAAGCCCAGAGTCTCCCCTCACCCCATGACTCCAAAAGCTGGGGCTTTAGGGAAAGCACGAAATTCGTGAGACCTGGTAACACGGCAGAGCCAAACCAATCAAGCTTTCTAGGACTAAGGTCTCAGCTGAAGTAAGTGGGGGGCTGTAGGTGCTCAGCATCTCTGAAAATCAGGCCCTTTCAAAGTGTTTTAAACTGGGACCCAGGAGTCCTGATTCTCAGCCTTCCTTGCTCTAACTACTGGACCCCACTCCCCACCCAGAGCTGGGACTAGGACCCAGGAGACATGAATCCCAGCCTCCCCCGCTCTAACACAGTGTCTCGCCTCACTCCTCTCCTGGTCCTAGGAATAGAATCCAGGAGTCCAAGCGTCACATTCGCCTCTCCAGCTGCACTCGCCTGCCTTAGTTGAATGGAACCCAGGAGTCCGGCATTGTAAACGCCAATGTCTTCCCTTGCCCTGCAGAAGTTCTGTTTACACAGGTGCCCCTCTGTGGAGGTCAGGGAACCAGTTCTGGGGTAAGTCTGACTAAATGGAGGCCCCTCTGTGCAGCCCTAGGAGCTCTCTGTTCTGCTTTCACACACCCCATCGTCCTCACAACCCTTTTCATGCTCTTCCTAGGAGACATAAATGCCGTCAGGCGGTAATGGAAGGATAAATCCAGGCAGGGAACCCATTTATCTTACAAGGAAGACTTGGGCAAAAGGACACAGCGCACGGGTGAGATTGTTACCATCCGTTCTGAAGCACTGTCGCTCCCATCTCAAGGTAACGCTGGGGGAAGGAGGCATAAAATATGACAGAAATTCGCATATTTAAAAAATGACATATGGCAGCCTCTCCCCATTAAACGGCCCGGAGTCCTGCTCAGAGAGAGAAAGGACTCTCCAACGCAGCACCCCAGACAGTCGGGGCCACAGGCTGCAAATCCAGCACCCGCCACCCAAGCAGTTAATTGATTTGGAGGTTAATATTTTTGTTAGTCCCGGGGTAAGGGCTCAACCTGGCAGCCACAGAGACTTGATTCTTCTGGACTTGGTTCTCCATTGCCCTGCACCTTAGGCAGTCATTTGCATTAGTGGATGTAAACCACAAGTGTTTCATGCCCACTTTGCACAAGTGTTAATGATTCCACAAAATGCAATGCAATGGAGAATCAAGCCCATCTCTGGGTATGGCACAGGCAGAAGCTCCCGCACCCGACACACTACCCTGCCAGTCTGATTCACCCCTAAACCAGAGGGATGCCCCTACAAGCTGGGAGGTGAGAGAGGAGTTCAGTCTCTGCCTCCAGCTCAGTTCAGGGATACTTGCCCTCTAGAACTGGACTGAGACCAAACTAACTCATAACACCAAAGAGCCAGCACTGCTCACCTGGTCCAGGATTGATGCTGTGACTGGCCCTGCAGCCTGGCCCGGCCTCAGTCGCCCAGAGCAGAGATGCACAGTTAACTCTGCCTTTCAAGCATTTTTGGTAACATTTTGTGGGTGAGAAGGGAATCTAGGGGCACAGGGGGCATGAGTCTCTGAGTCTCTCTAGTCCTTTACGGAGGGTGGGGGAACCCGGATAGTATGGTCATTTCCAAAGCACATGGGCAGAATCATAGCTTGTAAGCATTCTGCTAAATCCCTCCTGCTGCCCCCTGGCCTGAGTCCAAGCCACCATCCTGCTGTCTCTCTGGAAGGCCAGGAACTCTGGCCTTTCTCTGATCCCTAAATGTGGCTTCCAGTTTATACTGGGATGCTCAGGGATGGGGACACAATGGGGTGTGAGCAGTACCTGCAAATACCATGTGTGTCTGTGCGCGCATGCGTGCTGCCTGCCCAGTGTGTGGGTGCCGTATGGGGGTGTGTGTGCACCCATTTGTGCCCTGTGAGGCTGGAGTGTAGCTGTGTCTGTGTGTTTGCACAGGGTGTGTCTGTGGCAAGGTGGTGCGTGTGCGCTTGTCTGCACTGTGCACCCACTGCTCTTTGTTTAGCAACCTCCTGTCAGAGTCCATCAGCAGAGCGGGCTGGTACGGCTGCTGAGAGGCGTTTTCGGGATTTCATCTCGAGTGTAAGGAATCTCTTTGGTTTTCGCCCAGAGCTCTCACAACTCATGGTTGATTTGCTCCAGGCTAGGCCAGCTGAGTAGCCCAGAGCCCCTTTACTGTTAATTAGGCAGAGAGGCATGCAAAAGTTCCTGCGTCTCGAGGCATGCTGCCCAGGGTCCAATCTGCAGAGACGAAGAGGGGCTTCCGGCTACACAGACTCACTGCAGCATCTACCAGCTCAACCTGGAGACACACCTGCCAGCTGAGCAGTCCCTAAGCTTAGCCTTGGGGGAGCAACCCCACAGGCAAGACCAGCTCAGCACAGCTCCTACCAGCTGAACCCAAGGGCAGAGGACTCCATGCTAGAAGCAGAGTAGCAGCCAGCCTGGCCAGGCGTACGGGATTCCCAGTAGCGAACAACTCAGCCTCGGGCTGGAGGAGTTCCATAGAATCATAGAATCATAGAATCATAGAATATAAGGGTTGGAAGGGACCCCAGAAGGTCATCTAGTCCAACCCCCTGCTCGAAGCAGGACCAATTCCCAGTTAAATCATCCCAGCCAGGGCTTTGTCAAGCCTGACCTTAAAAACCTCTAAGGAAGGAGATTCTACCACCTCCCTAGGTAACACATTCCAGTGTTTCACCACCCTCTTAGTGAAAAAGTTTTTCCTAATATCCAATCTAAACCTCCCCCACTGCAGCTTGAGACCATTACTCCTCGTTCTGTCATCTGATACCATTGAGAACAGTCTAGAGCCATCCTCTTTGGAACCCCCTTTCAGGTAGTTGAAAGCAGCTATCAAATCCCCCCTCATTCTTCTCTTCTGCAGGCTAAACAATCCCAGCTCCCTCAGCCTCTCCTCATAACTCATGTGTTCCAGACCCCTAATCATTTTTGTTGCCCTTCGCTGGACTCTCTCCAATTTATCCACATCCTTCTTGAAGTGTGGGGCCCAAAACTGGACACAGTACTCCAGATGAGGCCTCACCAATGTCGAATAGAGGGGAACGATCACGTCCCTTGATCTGCTCGCTATGCCCCTACTTATACATCCCAAAATGCCATTGGCCTTCTTGGCAACAAGGGCACACTGCTGACTCATATCCAGCTTCTCGTCCACTGTCACCCCTAGGTCCTTTTCCGCAGAACTGCTGCCTAGCCATTCGGTCCCTAGTCTGTAGCTGTGCATTGGGTTCTTCCGTCCTAAGTGCAGGACCCTGCACTTATCCTTATTGAACCTCATCAGATTTCTTTTGGCCCAATCCTCCAATTTGTCTAGGTCCTTCTGTATCCTATCCCTCCCCTCCAGCGTATCTACCACTCCTCCCAGTTTAGTATCATCCGCAAATTTGCTGAGAGTGCAATCCACACCATCCTCCAGATCATTTATGAAGATATTGAACAAAACCGGCCCCAGGACCGACCCTTGGGGCACTCCACTTGATACCGGCTGCCAACTAGACATGGAGCCATTGATAACTACCCGTTGAGCCCGACAATCTAGCCAGCTTTCTACCCACCTTGTAGTGCATTCATCCAGCCCATACTTCCTTAACTTGCTGACAAGAATACTGTGGGAGACCGTGTCAAAAACTTTGCTAAAGTCAAGAAACAATACATCCACTGCTTTCCCTTCATCCACAGATCCAGTAATCTCATCATAGAAGGCGATTAGATTAGTCAGGCATGACCTTCCCTTGGTGAATCCATGCTGGCTGTTCCTGATCACTTTCCTCTCATGCAAGTGCTTCAGGATTGATTCTTTGAGGACCTGCTCCATGATTTTTCCAGGGACTGAAGTGAGGCTGACTGACCTGTAGTTCCCAGGATCCTCCTTCTTCCCTTCTTTAAAGATTGGCACTACATTAGCCTTTTTCCAGTCATCTGGGACTTCCCCAGATGACTTCCCTTTTTGGCTCAGCTGATAGATCTGCTGCCCATGCACTTGCCGGGTACCCGGATGCAGTCTGGCCACCAGAAAGGTTACCCTGGCTGACCCTAGAGCATGACCCTGAAGAGGCTTATAATGCTGAAGAGCGAAAGACTCAACATCCCTGGGCCGCCTGGGGAGAGCCGCTGGGAGCACCAGTCTGACAGGCAGCGAAACGAGGGCGGCCAAACTCCTCACGTTCCTCGTGAACATGCACACGGGTGGGAGTGCTAACTTGCCTCTCTCCCTCCACCCGCCCCCCCTTTACCGTGCCAGGCTCTGCGCCTCCCGTGGTTCATATCCCTGGTCAGTGCTGAGGAGCGGCTGGCGCAAGGGACACTGAGGTCAGTCACTTCACCTCTCCGTCCCTCGTGAAATGGGAATACTAATAATTCATCATAGAATAAATAACCCAGCCCTGTCTCACCAGGGGTGAATGGGAGAGTTACTCCATTGATGTTTCCAAGCCGCTTTGGGATCCTCAAGCTGAACGGTGCCTTTTAACGGCATCGGGTTGTAATTAATTATTATTAATTATTATTTAACGAGGGTCACCAAGTTCTAAAGCACACTCAACGTACATCAGAGACCCCTCCGGAGAGGCGGGAGCCAGCTGCTACAGTGTCGCCCGCCCACTGCACATCTGGAGAGCCGGCAGCCAGGTGGGGGGCAGGGTCACCCACCCAGGACACATCTGGAGGCGGCCGAAGCCAACTGGCTCCAGAAGCGTGACGCACGAGGGGGGGCAAAAACTACAAATCCCGACATGCAACGCGCCGGACCCCTGAGAACCGGAACCAGGTGGGAGAGGAGGAGCGGGGCCGCCTTGACCCGAGCACCTCTGTGCCCGGAGTCAAGACCCGCCCTTCTCCCGGGGACTGCCCTATCATTGGCTGAGCCGCTGGCAGTCACCTGCAGGACGGCCTGTGATTGGTTGTGGGGAGGGCGGCGTTCCGTGCGCTGGCTCGCTGCAGGCAGCTGGCGGCTGGTCTCGGGCGCGCTCCCCGGCCCCGGCATGGTGAGTCCAGCTGGGAGCAGCCCTGGCTTGGCCGGGGGGCGAGGGGCGAAGCGGGGCTGGCGGGGGGCCTGCGCTGGAAACTGGCCCTGGGTTGGCAGAGCCCGGGAGCGTGCCTCTGCGCAGGAGAGCGGTCGGCGGGGGCCTAGGCAGCCGGTTAGAAACCTTAGGGACTGGTAACCTACCCCCCGCCCCGCCCCCCTGGTAACCTAATCCCTGCCCGTCTGCCTTGGGTAACCTAATCCTCCCCCCGCCCTGGATAACCTACCCCCCCGCCCCGCCCCCTGGTAACCTAGCCTCCCCCCCCCCCGCCCCGGATAACCTAATCCCCGCCCGTCTGCCTTGGGTAACCTACCCCCCCGCCCCGCCCCCTGGTAACCTAGCCCTCCCCCCCCCCGGGTAATCTACCCCCCCGCCCTGGGTAACGTAATCCCCGCCCGTCTGCCTTGGGTAACCTAACCCTCCCCCCCGTCCTGGATAACCTACCCCCCGCCCCGCCCCCTGGTAATCTAATCTACCTCCCCCGCCCCGGGTAATCTCCCCCCAACCCCTGGTAACCCTAACCCCCGCCTCCCCCGCCCCGGGTAATCTACCCCCCTGCCCCTGGTAACCTAACCCTCCCTCCCCCAGCCCTGGGTAACCTAATCCCCGCCCGTCTGCCTTGGTAACCTACCCCCCCGCCCCCGCCCCCTGGTAACCTAGCCCTCCCCCCCCCCCGGGTAATCTACCCCCCGCCCTGAGTAACGTAATCCCCGCCCGTCTGCCTTGGGTAACCTAACCCTCCCCCCGTCCTGGATAACCTACCCCCCGCCCCGCCCCCTGGTAATCTAATCTACCTCCCCCGCCCCGGGTAATCTACCCCCCAACCCCTGGTAACCTAACCCCCCGCCTCCCCCCGCCCCGGGTAATCTACCCCCCCTGCCCCCCTGGTAACCTAACCCTCCCTCCCCCCAGCCCTGGGTAACCTAATCCCCGCATGTCTGCCTTGGGTAACCTAACCCTCCCCCCCTCCCGGTAACCTAATCCCTGTCCCCCTGCCACCCGCCTCTGCCTTGGATAACCTAACCCCTCTGCCACCCGCCTCTGCCTTGGGTAACCTAACCCCCCTGCCATCCCCCTCTGCCTTGGGTAACCTAATCTCCCCCAACCCCCCTGTCACCCCCCGCCTTGGGTAACCTGCCCCTGGCTCTGCACCCCCCCACACACACCCTGCCCCAGGTAATCTAACCCTCCCCCCCCCACTGCCCCCCACACCCTGCCCCGGATAACCTGACCCCCCCACACACACACCCTGCCCCGGGTAACCTAAAGCCCCTGCTCCCCTCCCATCCCCCACCCCTGGTAACCTAACCCACACACACACACACCAGTGCCCTTCCCCAGCTCTTTACCAGACCCAAAAGCTCCCTGCCCCAGAGCAGTGGCTGCTCTTCACTGGTGAATGAAACCCACTGGTGGGGGAGGAGGCCTGGGCCCCAGGAAGATGCTGAGTATCTGGGCTGCTCTTCCTGCTCCTATAAATAGGACTTCGCCTGGTGCCCTTTCTGGGGCTTTGGAAGGCTTTGCTGCTGCAGGGGCGGCATCCGTATCTGGTTTCCAGGCCTTACGGGCAGTGTGAAATGGCTGCAGAGTGTCTGCAGACGTGTCTCATGTCTCCCGCTGATTGTTAGAGGGTCTTTTTCTTTCTGTTGTCCGCAAGAGAGGTACAGCAGCACCCTGACCTCGCTGTCCTGGGTGCCGTGGTGCTGCCGCTTAGTGCTTTCTGCGTCGGGTTTGAAACATGCAGGCTCCCGTCAAAAGCCAGGTTTGAATCCTGGAAGGATCTGCTTGGGCCCCAACTTTCTGAATTAAACAAGTCCTTCCGGAGGCACCAGGACTAAGAAGTTCATGTCTGACTGGAACCAGGGGGTGGTCACGGGACTACACAAACCTCTGTGCACCAAGTCCCATGTTGCGCCTAGCATAGGCCCTCTGCACTCAGCTGGGTTTCAGAGAGCACCGGCCATGTGGAGTATAGCTTTGGAAAACCCAGACGATCCCTTGGACAGAAAAGCCACTGAACGCTCGTTCGTGTGCCCGGGAATCTGGGCAGGGGTGTTCTGGCTCAGAGGACGCGCTGTGATGGGCAGGAGCCCTGTTGCTGACTTCACGGTTCTGATTGTCTTCGTTTCCTTGCCAGGCTGTGTTGGGGGTGCAGCTGGCAGTGAGCCTGCTTACGGCGAGCATCATGCAGAGGTTGTCCCCGCACTGCTCCTTCGCTCGCTGGCTGCTCTGCAACGGCAGGTACAGGAGGTTTTCCAGCCAGCTCCAAATCGTTGCCCCCATTCTACTTTTGCATCTCTTCCTTCAAACACTGCCCCTCAATCCCCACCCCTTTGCTATTCCTGCCTTGAGCTCCCGCCAGCATACACACCCGGCTCTGCCTGTGCACCACATCCCAACTCTCAGCACCCTCCCCTGTACAGCCCTGCCAACGTCCTGCAACCCTGACCTGCAGCCCCTTCTCCAGTCGCCTGCAGTGTTGCTGGTTTTCACTTCTCCAATCAGACATTTCTGACTCTCCCCAGCTGTTTGTTTATATTTTGGCCCATCATTGACCCCCTCCTGTACCTCTCTTCAGCCTGTATCGCTACAAGCACCCTTCGGAGGAGGAGTTGTACGCCCTGGCAGGGAAGCAGAAGCCCAAGGCCAAGCGAGACCGGTGAGCGGATCCCCTGCAGTCCATGCTTTGTTATTGGGGGTGACGATGGGATGGTTTGAAGTGCAAATTAGGCCTCTTGTCTTCCAGGCCTGACTTCTTCAACCTGCCCCCATCTGTGGAGAGAGATGGTTTGGTGAGCAGTCAGGGCAGGGAGGTGGACCTAGGGTTTAATAACAGTAGCACCCAGAGGCTCCGATCGGGGACCCGTGGCACAAGATGCACACACACCCATCCGAAAAGGTGGCATCTGCCCCCATCAGTCTCAAGCCTTGTCTAGACGCACAAGTTCTGTTGCTTTACCGACGCTGGTCCAGCTGAAGCAGTGCAACATGCACTGTGAGTGTGGACGCAGCTGTGTCTGGATAAGTGTGCTGGCGGGGGAATAAGTTATATCCATGGTGCTCAAACTATGGGTCGCGACCCTGTTTTAATGGGGTTACCAGGGCTAGCATTAGACTGCTGGGGCCTGGGGCCAAAGCTGAAGCCCAAGGGCATGGGTGGCAGGGGGAGCTCTGGGTGGCAGGGCTCAGGTTACAGGTCCCCACCGGGGTAGCAGGGTTTGGGTGGGCTCAGGCTCCCCCTCCCTCCCCCCAGGGTCATGTAGTAATTTTTGTTATCAGAAGGAGGTCGTGGTGCAATGAAGTTTGAGAACCTTTGAGTTATACTGATAGACGCTTTTATCCTGGGGTAAATGCATCTACACAAGGCATTGTACCTGTATAACTATACTGCCCTAACTGACCTAGTTCTACCAGAACCAAATCTATGTGCCGACGAGGGCTAAGTCCAAGGTAAGTGACAGCAGCTGGATACAACCAACGGTGGAGGCAGGGAGCCTGAATTCCAGCTCCATGGGCTGCTGTCCACCCTCGCTGTGCTCTGTTCCTGCCATTCTGAGCCTGTTTCTCTCTTGCAGGAGGCTGAACGGGGTCACAGAGGATAAACCCCTGTCAGTGCCCAAGGACATCAACCTGCATTTGGAGACCACCCCAATAACCACAGTGGATGCTCTTGGTAATTCCCACACACCAGAGTCAGTCTGTGACCATCACCACAGTGGCTGAAGGCTTATGGGATAGGGAGGGGGGCGTGACTGACCTGAGTTTTCTATGGCAGAGCCAGGGAATAGACCCCAGGAGTCCTGACTCACAAGTCCCCCCCCCCCCCCCCCCCCGCTTTAACCTACGGGACCCCAGTCGCTTCCCAGAACCTGTTACAGAACCCAGGAGTCTTGATTCTCAGGGCCCTTGTTCAGGCCAGTGGCCCTACGAGGGCCAAAGAGTTCAGTTAGGGAAGTGTACCTCACTGCCCCCCCCCACACACACACCTTGCTGCAGGGGGTGGGTGGGCAGGGTGAGCTCGCTTCTTGCACACTGGCTGGTAGTGACAGCCCCGTGTATCTCTGCCTGTTACCAGTGCTGCGCTATTTCCTGGAGTACCAGTGGTTTGTGGATTTTGCCGTCTACTCCACCCTCGTCTACCTCTTCACTGAAGGCTACTACTGCCTGGTGGACCCCCGGAAGGAGATGAATATTGGCATTCTGTGGTGCCTGCTTACAGTCTTCTTCTCCATGTATCCTTCCTTTCCTACCCTGCCTGCTCCGCCTTGGGGGCTGGCAACAGGCTTCCCTAACCATGTGCCAGGGACTGGAGGGAGAGGGACTGTCGGGGCTGGGAGCCAGGAAAGTGACCCTGATGGCGAGGGATACAGGGAGTATGATGGGGAGGCAGGATACAAGAGACACCTGGTTCAGTTCCTGGCTTGGCTGAAGGCTCCCTACGTGACCTCGGACAAGGCTCTGGGTCTGCGCGAGGCAAGGCTCCCGAGCTGCAAAAAGGGGGAGGCGTCCCCCTGCCTTGCCGGGGCGGCTGAATCCAGGAATGACTCCCATGTGCTCAGATCCTGCAGTGACGAGGGCTGTGTAAGTACCTGGCCAGAGACTGTGGGTGAGCCTCCCAGAGCAAGGGGTAGAATCCCCGTTATTTATTTACCGTAGCACTTAGGAGTCCCAGGCATGGCTAGTACCACCTTGTGCCAAGGGCCGTGCACACCGAGAACAGGAAGAGGGTCCCTGCATGATGGACCCCCCGAGCTGTTCTTGTCTGGATGGCTTTGGATCAGCTCTAAGATCCTCTCCTCCACGGGCAGGTCATGCCTGAATCCAGCTGACCTGTTCATCTCGCCCCCTGCTCAGGGCAGTGCCGGCTGCTCTGTAAGGCTGCCAGTGACAGGCAAAATAACGGGGGAAGAAACCCACCATCCTCTTCAATTAGAAGCCTAGCTAAGGCCGAATGGCTTAATTTATGGACTTATAAACAGCTCCCTGACAAGTTATAAAGCTGTGTAATGAGAGCCTTCCCCACCGTGAACCGGGCAGGGGCCTGATGAAGGGCATGCTTTACGAGGTGCTCATGCCGTGGCAGCTGCAATCTGTATGGATGAAAGGGCTCCCGGACACTTTTACAGGCTGCTGTAAAGCAGGGACGGCTGTCTATCCCCATTGAAAAGGCGGCTGGCCCGCTCCCCGGTGGTTTATGTGAACATCTACATAGCGCCACGTGAGCCTGCCTGTCCCTCCCCTTTCACTGCAGCTGATTGATACAGGGCACCCGGGGATTGGCAAAACGGCCCGAGCCTTGGGGCCTGGCTGCTAATGGGGGTGGGGAACCAAATCCTGGCTTGGGGACCCTAAAGAAAGGCCTTAATTGTTTCCTTTTATTACCCATAATCACCCCCTTGCCAGCAGGTGACACCCCAATGAGTCCCTCTGAGTGAACCCCTTAGGCCTTCTCTCCTCAGGTGCAGTCAGACGCTTCTCCCCCTCTCCGGCCTGGTCCCGGGCTGCGGCACCTGGTAGATCGACCGTGCGCAGCCAGCAGATCGGGCCGCCTCACCCGCGGGCAGCTCTTCCCTGCAGAGCATGTGGCCAGAGGTGGATACAACAGCCAGGCAGCCTCCCTAATGCAGCATATTTAACCTCAGCAGTAGGCACAAAGCATTACGCCCCAGGTCCAGATTGTTCGGGGAACCCCTTTTCCCCCCTACCCAGAGTTTTCTCCCCTACAGGCTGAGGCAGGAGCCGTTCCTGGGGTGAGATGTGGACCTGAGGGCCGGGGGTTGGTACAGAACATGTGACAGATGCTGCAGAAATGAACCACGCCCAGTGTGGCTGCTTCTGGGCCCTATTGGGACCCCAGTGGGCAGAGCCGGCTGCTGGTGGGCCTGGGGAAGGATCACCCTGATTCTCCCCTTGGCAGGAGGCTGCACTCTAAACCCCTCCCTGCCGGAGTCACCTGAGAGGGGCTGCTGGCAGCCAAGTCAGCCTTGCCTATGCTGTGGTCACCCAAATGGAGAGGGGAGAATCCCCTTTGGGCTCGCCCTGTCCCTCATAGCTAGCAGGGGCTGGGCTGGGGGTGCCGGGCTGTGCTTCTGAGAGCCTGCCAGCGTGACAGAGAGTGAGCCCTGGGATCAGGCTCCAGTGTGTAAGACAGGGTGACAAAACCTCCCCGGGCTGGGCCACCTGTTGCTTTGATTGTGTTTCCCCCACATGCAAGGACCCCAGTGAGGAGTTGTTACAGGAGCCGCTCCCCCCAACCCCCCAAACGAGATTGGAGGCCCATTGTGCCAGCTGCTCCCTAGGCCTGTGCTAAGAGACAGCCCCTGCCCCATAGGTAGACCAAGGGGGTGGGGGCTTCACCTCCCTGCCTTACAGATGAGAACTGAGGCCCAGGTTGGTTAAGTGCCTTGCCCAAGGCTGCACACGGAGTGAGTGACGCAGCTGGTCTCTCATCACAATGACTACAAGGGCCTTCCTGACAGCTGCAGCCCGGGGTCTCTCCCAGCCCTCAGACGGTGACTAGACAGAGGCGTGTGTTTGGTTTTATACTGGTTTGTATTCCCCGGTGAAAGGGGCCGGCTCCATGTTCCCTGAGGCTCAGATACACACGTCCCCCCACACCTGAGCACTGCTCCTCGTCCCTGTTGGGGGGGGCTCACTGTCAGGCCCGAGAGGGCAGCTTGCTCTCCGTGGCCCACCCAGCCTTTGGCATCTCTGCCAAGGCCTCCAGCCATGCCCACGGCAGTGCCCACACATGAGAGGGAGACGTTTCTCCATGAGGAGTTACATCGAGGCCCAGCAAGCTGGCCTCGTCCTGGGCCAGCAGGCAGGAGCCGTCCGAAGGGGGAGAACTCTCTTTAGCCACCAAGTGGGTCCCCTGGTGTGAGAAGTCTGTTCAGTGAGCATTTGGGGGCACGGGGGGCAATGTAAAGGCCAAGCCCAGCTGGTTTCTTTAACACCAACCCCCCGGCGCCTGCAGCAAGGTCTTCTTCATGGTGATGCACCACTACTTCCGCTCCGAGGAGGGGGGCGAGCGCTCCGTCTGCCTCACCTTCGCCTTCTTCTTCCTCCTCATTGCCATGGTGGTGCTGGTCGTGCGGGAGGACTACTTGGAGTTTGGCCTCGACGCGGGTCAGCGAGCGGTGGGGCTGGTGCCAGGTTCAGGGAGGGAGCTGAGGATTGGGCGGACAGGTGGATTTGGGCGCCACTATGGCAGATCCCTTAGTAGGGATGAGCCGGGCTGCCCACGGGCTTAACAGTTGTGGTTGGAACCGTCTGCAAATGTGGTTGTGGCAGGGGGATGCGTCTGCATGCAGTGACCATGCTAGCGTGCTCCTGCGGGTCTGTGCTTCTGGATCCGATTGTGGGATGGGGGCCCCTGTTACCTCCATGTGTTCAGATGTACTGGGGGGTGGGTCGTGCATAGCACTGTTCTGTGAATGATCCCAGTCTATGGTAGATGCGAGTGGGTGGCAGGAAATCTGCCCTGTTTGGCCATCGTAATATAAACCTGTCCCCATGCACGTTAAACTGTTAGACCCCTGTTTGTCGCAGCCGGGTTGTCTAGACTAAGAAAAGCGGCTGAAGTTGGTTTGGGATGAGCCAACCCATTCTGGCTAACCCCGATCTCTCTCCTGGCGTCGGTGCAGGTTAACCCTTAACTCAGTCAGCTAACCCCACCCTAATGCCCCTAGCACCGTGATGCAGCTCAGGTAGCCACTTTAAATGGATAAAAGGGAAGTGCTTTCCCGTGCAATACACAATTATCTGGTGGAACTCGCTGCTGTAAAACAGCGCTGAGGCCAAGAGCTCAGTGGGATTTTGTGCAAAAAGATGAATGTGGAGGACAAGACTATGTAATGTTATAGCAGTAAGGGTTAAAAAACCCCAAGGGGTTGAGAAGGGCTAAAAATCCCCAAGCTCCAGGGCATGAGCCAACGCTAAGTAGCAGGGGTCAGGAAGGAACATTCCCTGGAGACAGGTTATCCCAAAACTGCTGGGTTTCCTGTGCCTTCCTCTGAAGCAACTGGTACTAGCCACTGCAGGAGACTGGACTGGGTGCATACTGGCCATCCCTTTTCCGATTGCTGAACAGCGCACAGGCCTGCCCTGGGCATGGCTCTGGACCCAGCTGTGAGCAGCCTGCCAAAGGACCACCCCACCCCCCAGTCTTTGCAATGAGGTCATGGGAAGTGATGTACCACTGTGGGCTCTGAATCCCCCCCTGCTCTTGTCTAGTTACGTGCTGGATAATTACTTTTACTGCTGGCTTTTGTCACCCTTGGCCAGCCGCGTTGCTGGGATGGCAAAGGAGCCTAGGAAGGGCTGTCTGACTGGTGTGTGGTTCCTGGGAGCCAGCAACTGCTCGCAGGAGACGGCTTGATTCTGCTCTCGCTTATCGCCGGGGATGTCTCCTGACAGCAATGGGGTTACTCCTGATTTACATCGGGGGAAGTGACAAGGGATCAGGATCTCTCGGCCCAATTAACTGGTGCTGTGCAGAAAACTGACTCCAAAACCCCTCTCCAGATGAGCCGTTTAGGGGGCTGGAGGGTGGGATGCGCTTGCTTTCAGTCTGTGGGTTTTGTGGTTCTGATTCCCCACTGGCCCTCTTAAAGGGACCCAACTCGTTACAACCCCTTAAACAGACAAATAAATAAATATTTATCCGAGCCAGCTCCTTGCACTCTGAGGGATCTCGCCGGCACTTGTGCATGTGCGTCACTTTAAGGCCCAGAGTCACACATGTCGGGAAGCGCTCTGCTGAATCAAAGCACTCCCAGGGTGGGCCCAGTGCACTCGGGCATAGCGGCACTTGTACCGGTGTAACGCTGTGCTCCGGGGGGTGGTTTGGGCAAGTCGGGACGAAGCGGAGCTTTGCCAGTACGGCTGCATCCACATGAGCAGCGCTTTGCTGGAATAGTTCATTCGTACGCTGGCTCTCTTAAAGGACACCAAAGCCGTTTAAACCACTTCCAAAACAGCATAAGCTAAACTTTAAAAAGGCCCCTTTACTGGATTCAGGGTGCCCGCACAGGGGATTATATACTGGTGTTACTGCAGGGGTTTAAATTCACACCCTATCTTATACTGGTATAACTTTCCCATGTTGATGAGCCCTTAGGTGCTTTTGACCATTTCACCCTTAGTGACTTACTCTTAGGAACCTGCTGTAGCGATTGGAGTAAAGCTACACCGTTACTTTCCCCATCACTTGCCGCCTCTTCCCTTCCAACACAATCTCTCCTACTCACCCACGTCTCTGTTTTCTGCAGGGCTTGCCAATGTCAATGATAACCTGGAGATTTTCTTAAAGCAGCGAGGATGGGAATGGACGTAAGTCTGGCGGAGCAGATAATAGAAAAGCACGTGGGATGGGGGAGGGTTGAGCTTTTTGAGTCTTTGCAGCTGATCCGGTCACCAGCTCTTTGTGTCACCAGTTCAGCAGCCTTCTGTAAGGTGGTTGTATTTCAGTTCCATGGGGGAATTATTTTTATTTTCATGGGGGTTTTTTGTTGCTTGTTTTTTAACCTTAGAAATATCAGGAATTTTGCTGGACGATTTCTTGGAGGTCTCAGAGATGTAAACTGCCTTTAACAGAAGATATGGGAGGGCTTGAATCTTTAACAAAGAATATTTTTCTCCTAAGAGTGTTTTGGACATTGGCGTTAAATGAATGTTAACTAACCAGACCAGAAACAAAGACTGAATTAAAAAAACCTTACCCATCAGATTTCTCTTCTGTGATGTCATAGTTCCCCAGCCACCCATCCTCTTCTGGGGAAAACCAGGGTGAAAAAGGCCTGGAAAGATTCTCTTAAGGCTAGCATTGTGGAGAGAATCTTTCCAGGCCTTTTTTTATCCATCAGATAGAAGCATAAAAAGGGCACAAGGTCTGTGTGTTTTCTCCTCTGCTGGTCCCTGAGGCAGAGCCTTCCCGGTCCTTGTGCTAACCCTGCTGCAGGCTGAATTCTATCCATTAGCATGTTGTAGCCTTATCTGACCCTCGATGACCCCTTGCTCCATGTTTGCAGAGTTCCCATCACCAAACTGACCTTCAAGCTGGGGCTGGTGGCCCTTTGTTCCTTCATTGGCGCGTGTCTGACGTTCCCGGGACTGCGGCTGGCACAGACTCACCTGGACGCTCTGAAGATGGCTGCAGACAGGCCAATGACCCAGTTGAGTAACCTCCCGCTTGTCTGTGAAGCAGCCAGAGTTATGGGTGAGCTGCGAGACGGACACAAGGCCGCCACCCCTGGCTGCTGTCTGACAGCCGGTGGGGAGCTCTGTTCCCCTGGATACTGCCCCACCCCAGAGGTGGCAGCATGGCAGCAATGTGAGCCACGCACAAGCCCCGTGGCATGGGAGGTGCTTTGCAGATGTAAAGCAGGGGTATCATTCAGACACTTGGGGGAGTGTAGAGGGAGGAGCTCTGCCAGGAAATGGACCTCTGATAAGTTTGGCCGGTCTGTGGAGGTGCTGACTGTATGCTGGGGGCAGGGCAGGGGCCAGGTTACCTGGTTCTGTCCCTCTAAAAAACCCTCCCCTGAGATACCTGGAGGGTGTTGCTTTTCCTGGTGAGCTTTGCATGGCCCTTGCTGGAGGGGGATGGCTGGTGGTGCCTTCAGGTGAATGTCGACAGGAGCCTGTGGTTCAGGGTGCCGCCCTGGGGCGGAGGTGGGGGAAAGCTGGGCTCTGACAGGCTCTGACTCCAGTTCTTTATCCTCCCCCCGGCAGGATCCTGCTCCATGCGAGTTTCTTGGCACCCCTGGTCACGGTGGTGATGTGGATCAAGCCCATTTCCCGAGACTTGTTGCTTCATGCACCCATGGGGAAGCAAACAGTCCAGATGTGAGTGCGACACTGCAGTCAGCAGGCAGGCAAGGGGGAGGGGGTATCCAAGTCTGTTCCCCTCCCCTTCCACCAGGTGCTGACACGGGTCCAGCCTTTGATAAAGAACCGTTCTGTACCCTGCGCTACCCTCGGCCATCGCAGTGTCTGCCGGTGCTTTATTAGATCAGACTCGCCATCCCCTGTGAGGTCAGTGACATCAACCTCGCTAGTGAGGGGAAGGGACTTTCCACCAAGGTCACGCAACAGGTCAGTGGTTGGTAGAGCCAAGAAATAGAACCCAGGAGTCCTGGCACCCAGGTGCCTCCTGCCTCTAACTGCTAGACCCCACTGTCCTCCCGGAGCTGGGAACAGAGCCCAGGAGTCCGGCTCTCCGTCTCTGTTCTGCTGTCGGTAACCTCCCCGACTTGTCTGGCAGTGCTGGCTAAACTCCCATCTGCCCCTGCTGTTTCTAATGTGTCCCTTGCTGTACAGTTCAGGCACGGGCCAAGCTGTGCCCTGTGAAGGTGAATTCTGCCCCCTTCACGCTAACGGCCTCCTGTCCTCTTGCCCCAGCATGTCGGACGCTGCCTACAACTCCACGCGCCTCTGGACCATTGTCGCCCTCTGCCTGCTGCGCCTGGCCATGACGCGCCACCACCTGCAGGCCTACCTCCAGCTGGCGGAGCGCTGGGTGGAGCAGATGAAGAGGGAAGCTGGGCGCATCACCGCCCTGGAGATCCAGCGCCGGGTAGGCGCCCGCGGGGCAGAGAGTAACTCAGGCAGCTGGGGCAAAAAGCAGATTCAGGCTCCTTGCTGTGCAAACAGCCCAGAATCTGCAGCCAGTCACTCTCCCGCCTCCTCGGAGGCTTGTGAACCAGCTCCATTCAGCTGGCCATAGGGACTTGGGTCCAAGCGCCCCTCAGCTCCAGGGAGATTCCCCCCTCCTGGCTGTAGCTAGAACTGTCCCCCCTGTAAGCACCAGGTCCAAGACGGGTGCCCGGGCAACGCGCTCGAGAATCTAGACAGCACTGGCCTTGGGCAGAGAGCAGCTGGGCAAAGTTTCCTTTCCCAGCCCCTTCCCTCTCAGTGACTTTCCTTCCTGACTCTCTCCTCTAGTATGGGTTTGACAGTAGCACCCCGCGGGCCTCATCCTGCCAGGCCCAGCACCGGGAGACAGTCCCTGCCCTGCATGGGCAGGACTGGGTGCCAATGGGAGAGGCACCGAGAGGGGCAGTGATTTGCCCAGGCTTGTAGAGCCTCAGGTGTCCGGAGTCACCGTCCGGAGTCACAGTCTGGTGCTGCCCTGCATTGCTCACGTCCCTTCTGTGCTGATTCCCTCTCGTTTCCAGGTCACGAGGATTTACTGCTACGTCACTGTGGTCAGCTTGCAGTACCTGGGCCCCATCATCCTCACGCTGCACTGCACGCTGCTTCTCAAATCGCTGGGTAGGGAGCCGGCTGGGCCAGGGTGACGGGCTCAGGCCAGGGGATGAGTTGCCCTTTGCAACTTGCCACCCCAGGAGTGGGGGCAGAGAGGCTTTCAGAGCCTTGCTTGAGGGATCAGGATCGTGGCTGCGATTTGGAGCATGTCACCGGAGCTGCGTTTGCCTCCAGCTGCTCTTCCTGGTTACCTCTCCACTGCAGCTGAGGGGCCCTGTGTGAAATGAGTTTGTTAGGTCTCAGGCCACCACCTGATGGGCAGGTGTCCAGGGCCCAGACTGGACTGGGGTCCCTGTACCTGGGGCTGGCTGGCAGGGGAAGGGTGCCCTGGCCCTAAACACCCAGCTTGGAAGGAAGGTTCAAAGTCCTGCTGCGGGGGTTGGGAGAGCAGATTGTCCCACGTTAGCAGAGGTCATGCACCTCCCCCTGCAGTGGCTGGTGCTGGCCCTGGTCTGAGCCAGCCTGGGGGGCAGTCCCTTGCCCGTTTGTAAACTGGGGCATGCCTCCCCAGGCCCTGAGTCACCGTTTCCAGCGGGCTGAGCAGAGCCGGGAAACGCCCCAACAGCTGGGTGACAGGACAGGTGCTGGAGGGACCTGTCCCTGCAGGGCTAGCTGGGACTAGAGGGGTGCACTCTGCCCCTGCCAGGGGTGGCTCCCCCCCACGCTCACCAGTCCCTCTTGTCCCCTCTGCCTTACAGGCGACTACTCGTGGGGCCTGTTCCCCGAACCCCCACCCGTCTCCCCGGTGGTGGGCATTGCACCGGCCCAGCCCACTGCTCCCTCAGCTGAGGAGGAGGGAGGAGAGGACATGCAGGCCACAGTGGCGCAGATCACGGGTGTGCTGGGCGCCATCCTCACCCCGCTTTTCTACCGCGGACTCTTCGCCTTTCTGACCTGGTGGGTGGCCCTTTGCCAAGTGATCACCAGCCTCTTTGGCCTCTACTTCCACCAGTACCTGGCAGCCTCCTAACCACAGCTGTAGCAGGGCCAACGGGCCCCAGGACCTGCAGGCCCCTGCGTGGAAAGGACCCTGTGGGCTACAAGCCATGTGCTGGGGCTGGGATGAGTTCCCACCTGATGGCTCTCTGCCCTGCGTCCACCTGGGTGATGGCGCAGAGCTGCCCTTGGCCCATCTCCTCCCCTGCCCGAGCTGGGGGACGCCAGCTGCCCCCGCTGTGTGTAGAGACGGAACCGGCCTCCCGGCTGGGCCACACCTGCCAGGCTGAGGCCGCTGCCTGGTTGTCTCTGCCCGCCGAAGGGGCAGGAGTAACTCGCTGGGGGCAGCGGCTCATCAGCGTCTTCTCAGCCTGCATTGGAGCGGGTTGGGAGGTGTGGAGCAGGGGCCAAGGGAGGGGCCCCACGCACTGCCGGCCTGGGGACAGCATCTTCTAGGCAATCTCCCCAGCTTGCTTTGGCCGAGCCGCTCCCCTCCCCACTCCACGGTAGAGGCTGTCTCACCTACCCAGCTTCTTGTGCGTGGCCGGCATCCCCTGAGAGCTCAGGGACCCTCTCAGCCAGTGGTTCCTGATCCAGCCTCAGCCTCCTCCCCACCTCCCACCCAGGGAGGAGCCTGCTGGTGGGTAACATGAGATGGTTCAGCGGGGAGCCAGAGACCTGGAGGGCTGGGGTCTCCGGGGGCCCTGGCCGGTGTTGGAGGGCTGGGGTCTCCGGGGGCCCTGCAGTCGCTGATACCAGTGTGGGGTGCTCCTATTCTGCTCTGATGGCTGGGCATGCTCTGTACGGCTGTAAATGGCCCCGCAGGGCAATGGCGAAAGGGGGACTAGGCCTGCAAGTCAAATGAGCTTGGCCCCAGGTTCCCGGCCGCAGCAGAGCTCTGGCGCTTGGTGCTGCAGGGAGCTTGGGGGTGGGGTGACGCTGAGGCTGGGAAAGGGGGGGAGGACGCTGGCTCATAGCCACGCCTACAAGACGGAATGGAAATCCCAAGGGCAGCCTCCCCCCTGGCAGACACAGTGATGGCTCTCGAGAGCATCCTTCCCTTGGCCCGTGGGGAAGGCGCAACCCAGATCCTGGCACTTGGGGTCCTGCTGCTCTAGGGACTGGGCCCTTTCATCTCTTGCCAGCAGGACCCCAGAGCAAACCCCATCCCAGCGGGGAACTTGCAGCCTTTCCCTTGTGCCTTGCCAGGCTCGCACCAGCCTGCCCTGTGCTGGGGGCTCATGACCTGCAGGGCACTGTGCGGGTGCAGGTGGGAAAGCACAGGATGATTTATTAGAACTAGCTCTTTTCTGGTAGCTTTGTTCTTCCAGAACTCGGGTTCTACCAGGGCAGAGGCACCCGCTCCCCCCGGGAGCTTTTCTGGGGTCACAAAGAGTGATTCCCCCTAAGACTGGCTGAAGGGGTGTTTTGCGTGGGGTTTCTGGGGCCTGCATTTGATTTAATTTCTCCTCAGGAAATCATCCCCCTCCTCTGTGTAAAATTACCCAGCCCAGTGGCCTTATTAATTCTGACTTCTAGAATAAATGCAACCAGGTACAAGGATATTTTATGAATAAACACATAGAACTGGTAAGCCACTTGCTGGTCAGATTCCTGCAGTTGTAGCAGGACAGAGGATTCTTCAAGTCACCATCCAAATGCATGCCACAGTGTTGCTGTGTGCTGTTAAAGCATCTGCTGTGTTCCACTCCAGAGGTGGCTGCATTTGAGTAATGTGGGCAGGGAGGGCACTGCCTCTAGAAGGACCCTAGGACAAGCCTGGGGATCAAAGCTCTTGCAGCAACTTAAGCTAAGGCAGGAACATGACCCATCCAAGCAGCAGCTCAGCCCCTGGGGGGAGGGGGGGTGGGCAGGGACTGTAGGCCCTCCAGTGGGGGGTGGGGGGAGATGGAGACTAGAGCTGCCCTGGCAGGAGTGAGCCAGGCTCACAGCCGGGCCGAACATTTCAGAGGGTGGGTGGGGAGCTTTTTGCAACATCTTGCCCCTGATGTAACCAGTATCTGTCCCTGATGCATGGGGCCTGAGGCTTGGGGGTGGGGGGGCTGGTGCCCCAAAGTGTGTGTGGGGGGGAACCCCAGAGATGCCAGGCAGCTGGGCTCCTTGCGATCGGGGATGGGCTCCCTCTGCAGACTGCACTATGTTGGGGGAAATTCCTTCCCCACAATGGTGGTGGGGCAGCATGGCAGAAGTTAAGTCCTTGCAGCAGGAGGGCAGTTGCTAGGGCCCTGGGTTGTGCTGCGTTCAAACACGCAGACAGTCTCTCCCCGGAGATCTGCCCAGCTGTGAGCTCGGGGCTGGGACAACGACTGATAGACTAGCCTGGAAAGGGGGGAGAGAATTCCCAGGCACTGTAATCAGGCCACAAACACAGAAACCCACCCAGCCCCTGCTGCAGAATTATTTGTAAATAAAAAAGCACAAGATGCCAATATAGGAACATCCCCAAGGTCCGTCCCAGCTCACGCAGGGCCCCATTCCCCAAGCTCAGCCGAGGGGAGCAGCAGTTGGGATCAGTTCTTCACTTGGGGTTGGAATTGCTGGTGAAGGGAGCCAATAGGCCAGCGGCCGAATCCACCCCTCAGCACTAATTGCCCCTTGTGCACAGAAGTCCCCCACTTTGACCCATAATTCTCCCCTCAGGAGAAGAACCATCACCACGGTTAAAGGATTCAAAATTAGGCCTTAGAACAGGGGTGAGCCACATACAACGCTCTTCAGAAGTTCAAGAGCTGGGGCGTCTCTGCTGGGGCTCGGCCTTTCAGCCCTGTTCCTGCTGAGGCCCCAGCAGGCACACCTTGCAGGGTTGAAGCCCAGATAGCCCCCTCCCTGATAGGCAGCAGCCCCTACCGCACCACCCTGCTGCAAGGCAGAGCTCCTGAGCTCCCCCCATGCTGGTAAGTGGAGAATGGGGGCAGGGGGGGCTCTACAAGCCACCCTTTAACAATAAACAAGCTGCATGTCACTTCCAAGCCATGGTTTGGCCACCCTTGCCTTATAGTGACAGATTCCAGAAGCTCAACTCATTTCGCTTACCAAGGAGAAAGGTAAGGGGTGACGTGATCACACACTGTCACTACTTGGGGAACAAATATTTAATTCTGGGCTCTTCAATCTAGCAGGGAAAGGTCAAACACGATCCACAGGCTGGAAGTTGAAGCCAGGCAAATTGAGCCTGGAACTAAGGCATAAATTAACTATTGGAACAATTTACCAAAGGTTGTGGTGGATTCTCCATCCCAGACAGTTTTTATATCATGATTGGATGTTTTTCCTACAAGCTCCGGTCCAGGAATTACTGGGAGGAGGTTCTCTGGCCTGTGTTAGGACAACCCTTCTGGCCTTGGGATCTCTTGTAACAGCTCCACAAGGGTCCCTCAGCCCTCCCTTTATCACAGCACAGGGACAGATGGGGCTAGAACTCAAAGCCCCCCTGAAATGTCTGCACCCCTCTCACTTAACCTAAAGGCGACTCCTCAGTAGGCCCCGTACTGCTGATACGTATGACACACAGTTGAGCAATTCCAACACTGTACAGCAGAGGGCAGCGTGAGGCGTGCACAGTGGGGGTCACATTTTGTGACCGAGCTGGAGCCCAGAGTCTGGTTCAGGGCCAGCGCTGTGGAGGGAGCAGAGCACCACTCCCTGCATGCGGAGCGTCCTGCCTCCTAGATCATGGCTGGTTTGAGAGGAAGGTGACAGGCCCAGCCTGGAGAGAACTCGCTCACCTCATCAAGGCAGCACCTTGTTCCCTTACAGCACACACAGATTAGAGCCTCTTGGGAGCTCGCGTGAGAGAAAATGGGGCATTTGCTGAACAAACCCAGGGGCACTCGCTCCACTGCCTTGGGCTACAGCCCCTGCCCTGCAAGCAAAGGCAACCAAGGCTGATTTTACCACCACCCCACCCGCGCTCCGCCCAGAGCTGCCCCATAGCTAAAGCCAGCTGGCCAGAAAGGGAATAGGAAAGACACAGGAGAAAAGAAATGAAACTAAGCTGTCCCTGACCCTTCCCATGCACAGTCCCCACAGCCTGGCAGCTTGTAATTACACATTCCACTGTGGACAAGGAGAAGCTTCCCAACCTGCCCCCAAGGTGAGGCATCAGCAGCCCTTAAATGAAGGTCAATCGCGGCATGAGGAAGAACACAGAGCCCAAACCTAGCCCTGCTCATGAAGCATGTCAGGGTGCTTGGTGCTGTACAAACTCCCAGGCTCCAATCTAAACAGCCAGACAAATGTACTCCATAAGGGACAGCTGGCCCTAGGAGAGTAGAGGGACAGCTGGCCCTAGGAGAGTAGAGGGACAGCGCAGTGCTTAGGGTGCTAACCCCAGAGACCTGGCTTCAATTCCCTATTTCCCTCTTCTGCCACAGACTTCCTGTGTGACTGTGGGCACGTCATTTAGCCTCTCCGGGCCTCAGAGCCACACCCATCTAATGGCAAGACCAGCACCAGCAGCACTGGAAGCCAGGCAAGGGTCCAAGAGTTAGAAATTGATTCTTACAGTGCAAGAAACCAATAAACGAGAAAGCCGTTGCCATCTTATCGGATGCATCTTCCAAATTCTGCTAAAGAATCGAGAGTCCTCCCTGCTGAATGCAGCACCGAGGATTTTAGCATCCTGCCTGCACCTTGCAAACTTCAGCTCAAGGCCTGACTGGGCCTGGCACATGCACCTTTCCCAGCTATTGCGACTAGCCCTGAACTTCTCCCTCACAAAAGCCAGAGCAATGAAAACTAACCCAGCAGCGCTCTCCTCTGCCAGAATGCTCAACAGTGACCTTCTTTTCAAACTCCTGGCCTGTACACAGCTGGGGTCAGACACGCCTGCAGCAGCAAGCAGGCTGGGCTTTTCCTCCTCTGTGCCTGGCGAGGAGGCTGCTGCCCTTCCCCCAGATACAGACCCTGTGCCTGTCATTCCTGCCGTAGGCACGTCAACCTTAGACCATTGCACCTTGGGAGGGTGCTAGGAAGTCTGGGAGTTGGGTGGTTGGACTGGGGCGCGCATAATGCAGGGTAGTCACTGGACCGCCAGATTGGGACCCGGGATTCACTTGGGGTTACAAATGAGTGTAGATGCTCAAGTGCTAGGTTAACAAACCCAGGGTTTGCCAGCGCAAGTTCTAACCAACCCTTGGCTTACGCTGCAGTGTCAACATGCCCTCAGAGGCTGGTCTTATGGCTAAGGCCCTGGGCTGGGACTCAGGAGATCTCAGCTCTGCAGAGATTCCTTCTTGGGCAAAGTCGCTCTGTGCCTTAGTTCCCCACTTATTTTAAGATGATCCCTCCTTTCTCCCCCTCATGTCTCTCTAGCCTGTAGGCTCTTTGGGGCAAAGATTCTCTCTCACTCCATGTGGGTCCAGCACCCAGCACAATGGGATCCTAGCAACAGCACTAGAAAGCCACATCCCAGAGATTTCAGGGTTTTCTACAGATTTCAGGGGGTCCTTTCAAAATAAGAGCCCCCATTGGTGAGGGGGAGGTTTCTGACCCCCACAGAGCCAATAGCTACAGCCAAAACAAACTGACCAGCAATTTTCCTTCCATGCAGCTTAGCCGGGCATCAACTGCTGAAAGAAAGTTGCAATGCTGTAACTTCCGTGAGAGGCACCAGCCCATACCTTCCATGGACCAAAGTCCCCCATGCACCCAGAACAGCACCAGCAGTCAAACAGCTAGCAGCTGCCTGGGCTCAGCTCAGAGCCAGAGGAAGTTCAGACCCCACGGCCCATTCAGTCCTGGACACCTGAGCTAAGAATTGCCAAAAAGGGGCCCAGTTTAGTAGCCTTTGGAGGTGGGTTTTAGGAGTCCAGGCACCATGGCTGAAACCCTGGCTCTCTTGAAGTCTCTGGGAGTTTTACCATTGAAGTCAGGGAGGCTAGGATTCCCTCAGCACCCCATGGTTTTGATACTATATCTTACTGACTGTAGTGACGTATTGAACTTTAAACAGTGTGGTATTCTGGGATTACCCTTTATCAGAGAAGTCATTAGATAGAATACTAGTTCATCGTTTCCTTACTGTGTTGACATACCCGGCTACCACAGCAGTTGCCTTTATCCGGAGTCATGGCATCCCTGTCATACACTGATGCTCCATCCCCCCGGAGAGGGCTGCCCACCGGGACTCTGAATCGGCTGTCTCTTCAGCACAAGCTGGGCTCCACCAGCCCGGTCTCACGCTGGCTTCCTCTTTGGGGTTCTGTAACTGTTCTGAGCGGAGGTTGTTTGGAGGACAGGTTATTGACCTATCACTCATCCCCAGCCTGGAGGACCAGCAGGCGGTGCTTCCTCTGGTCCCTGCCTTTGCCATGCCACTCCCAGGTCAGTGGAAGAGAGGAGTGTCCCCCTGCGTTACCGTGCCATCCTCAAGGACAGTAGTCCTGAATACACAGAGCCAAATAGTCTTTCAATACCCTGAATACTTAGGGGTATGCTCCTGTGCCAGCTGCTTTAACTGTGACCAGGGTGAGGACGGTAGGAGGTTTCTAGGAGAATGTATTTGGGAAAGACAAGGGTGGTGGGGACCGGATATTGATCCGGGAGCAGAGAAAGTCAGAGATGCCCCCCTCAACCCACTGTGGGAAGCTCTCCCAGAGTGTCTGGCGCCCCAGACAGCTAGAGCAGGAGTCTGCGGTGTGTAAGAGGCAGTACCTGAAGCACCCGTCGTGCTGGGAGAGGGGAGACATCTCTCCTTCTGCAGGACTTCGAGTCAGAGATTTGAGCAGGATCAGCGTGCGCTCGATTCAGAAGAGCTCGTTCAGTGTTGAGTGCTTTGCCGGTACGGGACACTGTTGAAAATCCGGTGCTAAACGGGCCCATTGCTAGTGGCTACAGCTTCCACTTTCTTCCCCCCTCAATGCTGGCCCCAGTTCTGCTGAGTAGAGACGAGAGCCCCCGTTTTGTCCTGTAAAATGTATTGTGAGTGCGACCAGCGCCTCCTGGTAGTAGAGATGCAACACAGAGGACACCCAAAGAGAATCCAGAGAGCCAGTTAATTTTTTATTAAATATACTCCTCTCTTGGCACAAATTTTAAAATATATATATAAACATTATATAACAGTGTCATCACTGCATTAAAATAGAACTCCAGACCCAAGGAAAGCAGTCAGGTTTGACACACATTAATAGGTGAGAACATCTTTACAAAAGGCATTTGTTCTCCGTGCATAGACAGTCAACAAGAGTCCCTGCATAACGTGGCATTAAAGGGTACAGGGTGGGTAGGAGGAACCAGACATTGCAATGAAAAAACCTTTTTATAAATCAAGTCTTTTCCATTTCTGGCTCCAAGCCATGGACTGAGCCCAAAACATACCACATTAGCCCTAGTATAAGAATTAAGTAACTACATTCAGGTATTTCCTCATAAATCATATGAGATGAGTAAAAGTTGCATCGAAAACAGTAGAGGCTGAGGGAACTGGGGTTATTTAGCCTGCGGAAGAGAAGAATGAGGGGGCATTTGATAGCTGATTTCAACTACCTGAAAGGGGGTGCCAAAGAGGATGGATCTAGACTGTTCTCAGTGGTAGCAGATAACAGAACAAGGAGTAATGGTCTCAAGTTGCAGTGGGGGAGGTTTAGTTTGGATATTAGGAAACACTTTTTTCACTAGGAGGGTGGTGAAACACTGGAATGCGTTACCTAGGGAGGTGGTGGAATCTCCTTCCTTATAAGTTTTTAAGGTCAGGCTTGACAAAGCCCTGGCTGGGATGATTTAGTTGGGGATTGGTCCTGCTTTGAGCAGGGGATTGGACTAGATGACCTCCTGAGGTTCCTTCCAACCCTGATATTCTAGGATTCTATGATCTCCAATATTTCGCTTCCCCTTTGCCACCAATGCTGTAGCCACTGATGCTGGATGCCAGAGACTTCTCAGATTGCATGGTAGCACCAAAGTCCATTTATCAAGCACTTGTTAAAAAAGTTTCTTCTGAAATGCACTGACTGCTTCTGTGTTAAAGCAACCACAGTGCAAGACCTGTAATGCTTAAGCACTGCCAGGCCCATGGAGGTCAGGTGGAGTTACAGATGTACCAGCATTTCCTCAGACCAGCTGCTGGACTGGGCTTCTAAAAAATATACCATGAAAGTTTCAGTGGATATTCCCACTCCACTGCCTGCCTCGCAGGGACCATCATCCCCGTGACTTCCACTGATGGTTGATTCTTACACGTGCCAAGGCTCCTCAACATTCCCCTTTCCCCGCCAAAGTCCTCTGCACGCACAGAGATCTGCCTTCCACCTTGGTTGCTGCTGGCCTGTCTTCCCATCCCAAGGCTGTATTGGCACTCTCAGGCCCTGCGGCCATGTGTTCCTGGAGAACAAGGAGAAGACTGCTTGGGGCATGTGTCCAGGGATCAGTGAGGGCTCCCAGCAGCAGCAAGGGGTCTGCACCAAATGGATAAGTTTTGTCTTGACCCTCTGCTGGAAAGCCTCCCCAGCTTCCCACACCAGTGCCCCTTACCTGGCCCTCAGAACTCCACCCAGGCAACGACCAGTTCACACAGCCAAAGAGCTAGGCACTGGGAGGAGATGCCATTTCACATCCAGTGGGAAAAGGGAAGGAATCACACCGGACAAACGATACTCGAGGACTTTCCAAAGGAACACACATCCCTGGTATCTAATCCTCGTTAGAAATGAAAGCTCTCACCCCTGCATTCGACAAGGAGGGTTCTGATGCTGGACTGTTCTGGGAACCCAACATCAATCTTGCACTTATGCCAGTTTAGCTATTCTCCATCAGACCTGCCTTCCCCGAATGGCCAGGGGTGGACCCAGGGCACTAGACCATGGTAGAGGGGAGCGGAAGATAAGGAAATGCAAGTTAATAGTGTTTGGCTGCTAATTATCATAGTAAGACAGCTGACCATTTTAAGAGAGTGTCACATAATTTGGGATCAGATGGTCAACAATTCCAGAGAAATGGGAGGGGAAGAGAGAAGATTTACACGGGACTTGTCTCCTTTTTGGAGGGATACAGAACATACTCGTGGGAGATTCCTGAAGCAAACTGAAGGTCATTCCATTACACACAGTGGCACCGTCCCCTCCTACCCAGCATGCTAGAGGAGCTTCAGGGTCCCTCATTTCAGGCAGCAGATTTGGAACAAGTTTTAATTCATGCAAGAAAGTAAAAGAATTAAGAGTTTTGGGTTTCCCCCTTGTACATCCCAACAGGGGGAAACCAGCTACTTCAAACGTACACAGCACACACACACACAGAGTTATTTTAAGAACTCTTTTGTTCAAGAAACCAAAGACAACTGCTAACATAATTAGACTGAAATCAGGTCTGCTTCTGGACTAAACAAACACAGTCAGTAAAAAGGTTTGTCTAAAAGAGATTTTTAAATTAGCTGCAGCGCTAACAAAAAACCCCCACCCATTCACCCCTCTGGGTCCAGCACTTCCACACCAGCACTTCCTTAGTCTCACGTCTCTCCTTGGAGTTTTTGGTACAGGTACCCCAGGCTTCTAGACAGAAGAATCTCACCACCCTGGCACTGGTCTCACTCCTATCCAAGTGGGCACTCCCAGGAGTTATGTGACTGAAGGCTACAGCCCATCAGGACTTCTTGGTTCCAGTCTCTCTTCAGACCAGTGCTCATATTTAATACAATGGGTTGAGGGGGAAGACTATTGATGCAGGGAAGATGTCTCAGAAGGACTCATGCTCCCAACTCAGTTCCATCTCCGAGTCTGGGGCTTTCCCCGCAGATGCATCCCCTTTCGCCAGAGAGTCAGGGTCCTACAAGGAACCGAGCACGCTCCGCTGCTACTGACTGCAGTGGTGGGCTGAGGGGCTTCAGCACACAGGATCAGGCCCCTAAATGAGGGTCCACCTTCAAACGGCAGGTGCAACTCATTCGCTATCTGCAGAGCTGGGTGACCCCCTCTAGTGGTTACTTCACTGCCCACCAGGATGTGGTCTAACCCTGACCATAGTGCAGACAAGGGAAACCAGTCTCCTCTTGCGTGTACACAGCTCCCATGCACTCGATGATGCACCCACCACACAGGAAGCCTCCGCACATCAAGAGCCTGATAGCGATTAGACGTACCTTGGACAGTAACACACATGCCACTGGTATGGTATCTCCACTCAGGGAGTCACGCTGCCAGCTTGATACTCCCTCCCCTCCCCCCATCATATAATGGGGACAAAGAGAAGTAACCAGCTTTTCCACTGGGGAAAGGAAAGCGTCAGAGTTCTTGCAAAGGTGCGTGCCACCAATATAAAGAACTTCACGCACCGGATGCTGGCTGGACTCCCCTCCCACCAATGGCAAGGGCTGTTCTTTTAGGGCTCGTTTGTCTCATCTGTCACAAGCATTTCCAGTTTCTTAAAAATCTTTTAAAAATTGAATTACGTTGTACTTCGACGATGTGACCAGAGACTTTGAGTTTACACTGGATATTCTCGTGAAGCAGGAAGCGTCAGACATCTCACAGAGGTCATGTCTTATCTGGGCACCGGCTGTTAGCACAATACTGACGCTCCTCTTTCTAGCAGAAGAACGCGCACACCAGTACTCCAGCATCTAGACTCTCTGGCCAATCCCACGAGAGGATTAAGAACCCAGGGCCAGAGTAGGTGCTTGTCATTAATCACTAGGAAAATATTTGGCATTAGAGGCAGGTTCTGCTCCAAAGAGTGAGTGAGTGCAAAGACTATTAAAAAAAAAAAAAAAAAAAAAAGAGGGGTTTAATTTTACCAATTGCGATTCTCTTCATTCTGGCGAATGAACTCTTGATACAAGGTTTGAGCAACAATAATGAACATTTAGTGTCTGGAAGGGACAGATTTTAAATACAACCTAGTTACACACTCTGCTCCATTTCTGTTCCACACAAGCAGCAGTCCTGCCACATGGAAAGGTGTGTTTGAGGGGTATACTGCTTGGGAGGGGGGAGACATCGGGGTCATTAGAGATGGCTGGACAATTTCTTCCTCCTCTCTTGTGCTCCAAGTTTAAAATAAAGCCACTTGCCCTTCCAAGTCTCTCAGTGCTCTGTTCCCAAAATATTATCGGCGTTGAACTGTCACACTCAAAAGGTGCCTTACGGTTCATTTCACACTTGCAGCTGGGAAGGACTGGCACACCTGGCATGATTCCCAATGGGTGACAATTACATTACTCTTGGTAAACTGAGTTTATTTTCTATGAGCCAAGTTGGTCCAGTACAATTCTAGAATAAGCTAATGGAATCAAAGTTAATCAGCTGAGGTGACATGACCCACGGAGTGCATACACCGAGGGTGTTCCAAAGCAGGGCCGACAGCTTTAGACAAAGATGAGGTTGAACCCATTAAAAACAGCCACCTTGATAGGTTATTCATAGGTGTGCTGACACCCACCCCAGAGTTTATTCTCACATTGCAGTTTAAGCAGCAACCACAATAATGAAGGATATAATTCATTAAAAACTTTGAGTGTGTAACACTTCCCCTTCTTAATCTCCAGTCTTAATACTGCAATTTGCTAAATCCTTCCGAAAATGCTGTGTTTAAAAATACAACAACTCCGGATAGAGGGGTTTTTAAAGTAGTCTGAAAGCAACACTGTTTCGACTGAATCCAGGCAGTGCTGATGGCAGGCACAGGAATTCCAGATTGAAAGTTGATCTAACTCCAGAGTCTTTGCTAATTTTATAGAGGGACATTATAATGTTTTGTTCAACACAAAGTAAAACCAGAACAAACGATATCTGAAGGAAGGAACACTTCCACACTTCCAGCCAGAGCACACATCCAAATTCTGGAGTAAAAAATTATTTTTAAATAAAAAACTTAAATCCTGGATGTTCCATTTCAAAGGCTATTAACCCTCTCAACTCACATGTGAAGTTCATTGCAGACCGACTGAAATACTGCTTGCCAGGGTGCTTACCGATGTGTAGTTACTAAGAACTGCGTAGCTGGAACAGCTTTCACCTCCCGGATTTCCAGCTCCATCCAGGCAGACTGGCGTCCCCTCCACACCACCTCATCAACCCAATGAGCCCAGGAGAGAAGTCAGCAATAGCTTAGTGTGTATCGAAGAGTTAAACACAAGACGGAGGCAGCTACCCTAGAGAAGGCAGCTCTGCTGTCACCCAGAACCACAGGGAGAATTCCATTTGGTGAAGGTTAATTGCATGTCTGGGTTTGGGGATAACTGGGAGGCTCATTTAAAAAAAAACAAAAACAAGAAGTAAAATCTCAGCAGCAGGGGGTAGCACTAATAAAATGGGACAATGCTAGTGTTTGCTAGACACACACAGAGTACTTCTCCCCTGTAATACTTTGGAAATGAAGCCACTACCTTTCAATATTAGTGCTGATCTGTAATTTACGGAGAAGGATCTGGGTAAGGTCAAAGGTTGTGAAACTTATTCCCACTGCGATTGGACCTTTGACCCAGTTCATGCTGAGTCCTTTGTACAAGCCTCGGATTAGTCCCTCTTCTCTTATAATCTCTCGCATGGTGGGTAGGATGGAACCGTACACGTGTCCCATGACTCCGGCCGTCTGCATTCGCCGACGCACCACGTCCAGAGGGTAGGAGGCCGACTGGCCGATCAAGCCTGCACAGGCGCCAAATGCGAGACGTTCCAGGGGGTATGGCTGGGCTCTCCCACTGTGATCTGGGAAAGAGGGAGGAAGAGGCAGTGTATAAATTGCTTCCTGGAGTAACTGCATAACTACAAAGTTACATGGTCTAATGGCCAATACAGCAGAGAGGGCATCAGGAATCCTGGGTTCTCTTCCGCTAGCAGTGTGACCCTACGCAAGCCCTTGAGTGTCAGTTTATCCAGCTATAAAATGGGCACGATGTACCACATCCTGCTGCTTCCCAGTCCAACAGAGGTGAGAAGAGAGGAGACGTCCTTTGGTGCGGGATCGGGGAGGCAGCTTTAAACCTTTTATGACCAAGTGCTAAAGCTCTGAGAAGCGGTTCTGCTGCCAGCCTGAGCTGCCGTCACCAGGATGTCAGCATTCTGACGCAGGGTGTGCTTTACCTGCATGCAGTTTCTTCAGCGACTCGTAGGTGAAGAAGCTAAGCCCGGCGTATGGGATCACCCCAAGGATGGTGGGCGCAAAGCCCCTGTACAAGGTCTTCAGCCCCTCCTCCCGGGAGATTCGGATGAAGACATGGAGGATATTGCTGTACCTGTAGAAACACAGACCCCAGACATTACCAATGGCCTTTGTGTGCAGGCAGTAATGCTTCCAACCTGCCTCTCAGGGGGACCCACAGGTAACCTGCTTGCTCAGCTGGAGAAATCCACCAACATTTAGCTCTGAGCGTACGATGGGGAGCTCAGAAGGGACTTGATTAAGATGCAGTTTTACAATAAAGCTATTGGAAAGAGCTGGCTTTGTCATTTGTCCATGACCTGTTGACCTAGCAGAGGGCATCCGGTTGGGCCTCTCCTGAAGGAGCAGTGTCAAACTGGCCTCTTTGTCCCAAACCAGCACACAAGGTACCTCTCACTTGTGAGCTGATCACTATTTGAATACTGACCTTGTGGGGAAGTCTCTGGCCTGTGTTACGCAGGAGGTCAGAGTAGATGGCCTTGGAATCTATTCATCTCCTTCTGGAGAAGGAAGGTCACTGGCATGTGTCAGACTTGCCGATTCCCAAGGCTGAGTCACCAAACCCAGAGTTACACCAAAAGCTTAGAACGAGGCACGAGCCGGAAAGATGGATTAAAAATCATGTGACCTTCAAAACCATCCACCTCCAGCCCGGATGCTTACACCCATTCCCATTAGCCACTTACATCTCCTTCGGCGTGACAGCCATTCGAGCTCGCACCAGGTCCAAAGGGTAGGTTAACATGGCAGCTGTTGTTCCTGCCAGCGAGCCAGCAACGAATCTGGGCAAAGGAGTCAACGTTCTAAAAACGAAAGGGAGACAAAACCAAACCGATCACACCTGCACAGAATAAGGATGGTACTTTTTCTTAGGCTTCCTCCCACAGCTACACTGAGCTGGCTTCCAGCAGCTACTTATACTGGGAGGGGGCAGAGGGGAGCTTGGTGCTGGTGACAGGCTGGGGGCTGCAGCAAGCCTGATTTGGGTCTTTCAGACACATCTGCACTACAGCATGGAGAGGGGAGTAAGAGGCCATGCACTAAAGTGCAGGGTGTTTGGTTTTCAGCGCTCTGGGGAGGCTGCGTCCCGTTGCTTCTCTTGGCAGTGCTAACCCCAAATGCTATCTGGGCCACTCCTTGCTCACCCCTCTAGAAGGCAGGATCTTATCAACCAGAGGGAATCGGCCTGGGACACAATGCAGACTCTAGGCAGCAGGGACACCCCGCATTGCTTAGCTCCTGCCCCACGGAGCTCTACACAGCTGCCCCCTATCCTGGGCTCTCCACCAGTACAGCGTTCAGCTGAGCAGCGATAGGTTCCCACAGCCTAGAGGCACCCGTCACCTACATAACAATCCTAATTCCCACAGGCCTCCAGTCCATACAACCCCTCTCACCCCAACAGTCAGACTCTGCTCCTACGACTAGGCTCAACACTGGCGGCATCTTACTTTCCATGAAAGCCGTAGTAGCTTCCCAGGAGTTGCTTGTACTCTTCGTGCGCACAGAACTGGATGGCAGCATATGGGATCACCCGGACCATCGTGGCCGAGTTCCCACGCCACAGGCTCAAGAAGCCGTCATTGAGGTAGGTGCGATAGATCAGCCTATAGGCTTCCTGCATGCAACAGAAAATGAAAACGGGGTCGAAGGTGAGAGGAGACGACGCTTCCCACTCTTCACCTAGGATGGAGCCAGAACGTCTCCAGCGGGAGGAAGCAAGTCCCAGCAAGACGGCTTCCCTTGGGCCCCCAACCACAATGAGGTGGGAAGACAGTCGCTATTTACATTCCCTCCTTTGGGCTGTGCCCCGAATACACAGAACAAGAGCATCAGCATCTCTCAGATAGGAAAAGCATCTTTTAAAAGAGAATTGGACACAAGCAAAGCTGGAAAGAGCCAAAGGGCTCAGAGCGGTTTAAAGACGACATGCCTTTTAGTTTCCTCTTCCAGGGCTGGAGTGATGTCTGCACAGACCACTTTTCAACCCAAATCAATAGACTGATTACAACGCAGAAGGTTTGGGGGATTATAAATATTAGCATGTGCTATCTGTAGCATCAACCTAGCACATACATCATAAAGCACTCTACAAACCACAAGGAGGGATGTCCACCCAAACTCAACTGTGCAATAATCTTTTAAAGAATCCCACTGCTGGCTGAGTGATAACATTGGGTGGGGGAAGATGCAATACCGCATTATGCCCAGCAAGATGGAGCCCAGGGTGCCACCAAATGAAGAACTGATTGTCTGCGGTACAGCAGCACCCCTAGGCCCAGAACAAGTCTACGACAGCCACTGTGCGAGGTGCTGCGCAAAGGTATGATGGAGACAGCCTTGCCCCAAGGAGCACGATCAGTTACACTGTTACAAATCTTTTCCTCTGTGCTACTTTGCTATAAACACTGCTAATAAAATTCAAGCCAGACAGTTAAATACAACAGAGCACTTTTATTGCTATTCCTGCCATTAATCAAACCCTTTACATCAACAGGAGACAGACATCACCTCACCTTGGCAGAAAATCTGTTTGCAGACACTAAAAAAAAAAGAAAAGAGAAGAACATTAGTGTGAGGACTTGCTGCACATTTAACTAGACAGAGTCCGACGGCCATGCAATTTAGCGAGTAAAATCTATGGGGATGAACTTGGACACCACAGAAGCTGCAAGCTGTTATCAAATCAAGCCTTTTCTAGTTCTTAAGTCATGAATTGCATAAAGGAGCAAGATAGTGAAAACTTGTTCACATGTGACTGTTGCATGGCCTTGAGAGGATTACAAATCTGTCAGGAATTAGAAAGCAACCGCAGAAGGTGCTGGATTGCTAAAGAAACAAGGTTTTGTTGTTTGTCTTCTTGTAGCCCGGCTTCACACCTGCAATAGGAGTGTTATTAGAACAGAGCATTTAAACACCCTGTAATTTCATCACCAAATACCTTGCATGTCACAGTTAAAGGAAAGCTGTCAAAACTTTGAACAGATGCAAGAAAAGAAATTACACCCAATCTTGCAATGAGCTCCAGGCAGGTATCCTCCCTCCTGCATGGAGTCCCGTTGAAGTCCTGCCCTGTGCAGGATGGTGGCCTCCGGTTGTAATTTGTGCGTGGAAGGGATCTATTAAAATATGCTCGACTCTTCACCTGAGAGATTGGCTTATGGGCCACAGGATCTGTGAGCAGCCGCACAGTAACTAGGAGGCGCCGTACGCTTGCTGAGGAAGAAAGCTTCATCTGCTGAGGGCTGTCTGGAAACTGTTTATTGCAAATGTCCACTGCACTGGAACCAGCTCTTCTGCCCTCCCAGCAGCAGGCCGCCACACACTTACTAATTTACAAGGGAACTTTTGTAGCCCAAATGGCCCAAGGCTGCTTCCAGCTGCCTGAATAGGAAAGCCACTGCCAGCTAAAACCCCCAGACAGTGAGAAAGATAAGGAAACTCTGCTGGATGCCAAGAGATCAGCCAGAAGTGGTGGTTTCTAATTAGATCGTTCACCTCCTCTGCAGAGAGATTAACTAGACAGAGAACTTGGCTATTTATAAAACATAGGCCTGTACAAGTTAATGGTGATTTGTACAAACAGCTGCTAATTCACCCCTATTCTCCAGCTCCCATTACACCCTTCAGCTCTCAGTTTGGATCTCTTATGGAAAGTCTTAAACAGGGGAAGTGAAGGGCTCATTCCAGTGAGGTAGACAGTGAGGTGCTATGCTACACACAACCCTGTCAATGCCTCTAGAGTCACCCTAGCTATCGAAGCTCTCAGATCTCTCCCCCACCCACCCACATTAGCTCTGCTGATGCACTTCTGTCCTGTCCTGCAGCCCCCTGCTATTCCAGAATGGGGCCTCTGCTAAGCCGATATTGATGATCAAGTCAAATCGCCTCAAAATGAATCACATCTAAGGGATTAGATTAAATCGAACTCATTTAATCGGAGATGCAAACCAGATTTAAATCCTTGGCCTCTCCAAAAGTCTACTACGTTAGGCTACTGTGCACTCACGCACGCACACTTACTTGTAATATTTAATATTCCTGGGTCGTTCTTGCACTGAAACGGATTTATCAGCCTATAGCTGCAATCTGACAGATGATAAAAATGCTCCCCGTTCTGATCAAATGCATGAGGATGGTCTAGTCAAAGCAGCTGAACTTGGGTTTTCAGTTACGCATATTTAGCATATGGGATATGAAAAGGGATTTGTAGTATAAAGCCAGATATTTTGGACTCTACTTCATTGACTCTTGAAGCAGTCTGTAGAATTGATTTAACTTACAACCAGAATATTTTAACTTAATAATTAACAATGTAAGTTTGAGTAAATATGTTCTACTTACCCATCCTTTAACAGGAAACCCCTGGTGTTTATTTACTTCCGTCTAATTTTCACCATGTCCCCATTCCCTCCTTCCCCTATTCCCTGAGGTTAAGCAGCCCAATAGCATCTTTGTACTTTTCAATGTATATCTCCAAACTGAACCGTCTCACGAAGAGCAGACGTGAAACCCAAACCACTACGCCAAGCCTTCAAAATGGTATTACCCTCCCCCCCCTTCAGTTTTAACTGCAACACCTTACAATACATGGCTGCTATATGTTTCGAGAACCTCCCTCACACCCACAGACGATAAGAGCATGCAAGACCCACACTCACAAGCTGCGCTCATCTTCCACTAAGAAACAGTGGGCTCAGTCCTACACCATGGAAGTAAGTGGCAATATCCCTATGACATGTGGGCATAATCCTAACAGATTTGTGGCCGACTGTCACCTTTCGGGATCAGAACCTATATCCCAAGCAGGAAACAAAGGTCCCACGCTCCTGTCAAAGCCACACAGGGTTTTCTGCAGGTTTAGGAAGAGCAAAACGTCAGAGCACAGACCAGCTGTACTGCTGACAGAGGAGAACAGGCACTCTGTTCTTTTAGAAGCTGTCTGCTTTCTCAAGGGCTCACAGCATTCACCTTGAAATATGATTTTCGTCCTATCTAGCGGGGCTACTGCTGTTTTTGCAACAGCGCCAGCCAATGCACCAGACATCAGGGAGTTGATCACTTTCCTTTTATCCGGGCTCCCCTAGGAAAAAAAACAAAAAACAAAACACATTACATTGCTCAATGAAGGGACAGAGTTGGGTGACTGGGATGCAAACAAACTTTCCTGTACATAGCATCTAAGCATATGCCTGCACAGCAGCGGTCTGGGCACTGAGATTGGGGAACCAGAGTTAGTTACACTGGGTGAAACTGTCCCTGCTGCTAAGCAACACGCGAGTTATACCTGTAGAGCTGTATCCATGCTGGAGCAGTACTAACCCAGGTTAGCCCCAGAACATCCTAGCGCCTATCTCAAGGTTCTTAGTGCTGCACTAAGAATTGTTTCCTAGTGCATTATGGGAGAATTTGTCTGTCCTTCCTAACCCCTGGAGGGCTATGGGCCTGGATTCAAAGCACTTATAAACCCAGGGAAAAGCTGTGTGCGGGTGGACAGTTTATGGCTAAAGCCCAGGCACAATGCAGACATTCATACAGCTGTCTCAGGGCTCTTGGGAGTACATTTGCTTAAACAGTATTTCAACATGTGGGAAACAGCAACTGGCAGTTCTTTACTGCTCAGTTTCTTTCATGAAGCCTTTTATTCACAGGGACTTAGGACAAATGGAAACCAGCGTCAGGGCTTCGGAAACTCAAATACCACCCCCAAAATGCCAGATACTCCAAAGCAGAAATTCAGCTCTGAGCTGGACCCTGAAGAACAAAGATTAAAACTAGCCTACCAGAGTACAAAGTTCCAAAGTCAATGACCTCTTACCCAGAAGGTGGCCTATCCCTTCCCTGCTAAGATTACAGTGAAAAGCACTGCCCCCTCTTGATTTAAGTTAAGTACTGAAAGCAAGTTTCTGGTTTTATTTTAAACCTGCACTTCCAGGGACACCACGACCTTATTTCAAACTGGCCCCAACACCATAGAAGCATAAGGCAAGACAAGTTTCTCCTGCGAGATAACTGCAAAGGAAATAGCTTGGTTTCTTATATGCCTGTCATGTTTCAGATTTAGAGTGCAGTTTGCTTTTCATAATACATGCGCAGAAAGCAAGCCAGAGTGTTAAATCTGACACACTGAAGGCAACAAACTGTCAGGAAAGCACAGATTAGTCTTGCCCATGTTAGCTTTTAAAGACACGTTTTATGTTTGCATGGCATGTATTATATGTTAAGTGCTCTTTTTTCTCAGATGGATTTGCCCAATTATGACTGTACCCCTTGGTAATGTTGTCTCTGTTCCCCTCGACCAAAGATCTTTAAAAAGCTATGTTATCAAAAATTCTGCTCAATTGTAGTCACCTTCTGACCTCTGCCTGCCCAACCCTAGACGCAGGCAAGAGGTGGGCTCATCTTCAGCCCAAGTTCTGGACAAATAAAGTAAGGGGGAAAACAAGCCGTAATTACTTCTGTAATTACTTCTTTATTCGAGGCCTGTATCAGCCACACGCAGCCCTTGCTAACGTTTGCGGAGTTCTTTAAAACAAACAAACAATCTGCCATGAGACTTCTGCAAGGGGTCAGCCCAGTATCAAAGGCAGCAACACATGCTGCCATAGGTAGGACTCCCAGGTGGTGCCTCAGCGCCCAGAGGGCTGGGAGCTGACAGTGCCCCACTCTGGCTCCCTCCCCCACTCTCCTCCACCCACAGCAATCTTAAAGTGACTCCAGACTGAACTACATCCCAGCAGGAGAATGTGTTGAGCTGGCTTACCCTAAGCCTTTGGCGGGGATGAGGAACAGAGTGAGCAGCCGGGGAAAAAAAACATTCCCAACCCCATTTAAATAATTCAGCATAGCGCCGAGTTGTATGGAAGAGTATCAGGAGAATCTTGCTGGAAAATTCAGGAAGCGTTTCCAACTTTAGCCTGCTAGAGTCCCAGATAAGCAAGAGTTGGAGTTGGCAAAATTGTGTGGCTTGTTCTGTTGATTCTCACTAACTCTGACCTACACAGGGACTAATCCAGGAAGGTTGGGAGCAAGCAGCTTCTCCGTGCACTGGCTAGTTCTCAAAGCGTCACTTTTGTTCCTTTTTGCCAGTTCCTTAGAACTGCATTTAAAAAGTCTGCTTCAGACACTCTTGCTTCCCAATCATTTTTCTGATGCCAGCCAGGGACAAACTCATACATACCAGAGTTTTCTCCTCTCTTCCCCAGATTATTAATGTAATGAAGGAAAGAGAGGTTCTCGTGAATTTCACTTTGCCCCCTAGGCACACCAGGCTTAGCAGAACACTACATTTGTAAAAAGGACATTGGGAACAGATGGTTTGACCTTTCCATGAAATTTAAAATCCACTGATTCCATTTATATTATTTCCTATTCAGTACTTTAAATACTTTTCCTATTTTTACAACAGCAGCTTCATCACTACTGATACAACACAGCAAACACGCTGACTTAAGGCAGAAAGAGGAGATGTTGGTTATTAGAGCAAAGGCAGGAAACCAAGACTTGTGGCTTCTATTTCCAGATCTGCAACCAAATGCACAACCTGGGACATGGAACGAGTTCTCTGCAACTCAGTGGGATACCCATCTACCTCCCAAAGGGTAGGCAGGAGACCAGAGGCATTTCACTGATGTTTGTAAAGTGCTTTGAAATCTTCAATGAAAGCCACTGTTGTACAGCATAATACTTGTAAGCACTGCAGCCGTTTCAGGGCTCCCCATATCAGAGGTCATTTATTTTTCCTTTATGGAATAGCAGCCAGCCAAACCAAATCTCCCCTCCTCCCCCAGCAAATCCATCACACACACCCCTCTAGAACTGCCCGCTCTTACCTCAGATAGAACATGGGTTGGTACAATTGGCTCCACGCCATTCTGTTTTAAACCCACTTGACCTTCCTTCACACCATTACCCATACCAGTCGTGCTTACTAGGCAGAAGATTTGTGGCTCCTACATTTTGATAAAAAAAAACAAAAAACAAAGCAGTGGTTACATGAGAGTAGAAATGAACATTTAGGGATTGTTACCAGCTTACACTGGAGTACACAACATGATCTGCAGTAGAGGCCACCTCCAACTGGTAAACCCCCGTCTTAAACCACCCACTTTAAAAGTATCCCAAAAAGGTTTCCAGCACAGTTTATCCTCCACAAACCAGCCAACTTCTGCTTAGCAGCTGATTTCTAATGTTCCCTTAAGTGTGTGGTTTTCCTGTAGTTAAATACTGGGCTGTTATCACTCTGTTTCCCCTGTAAGGCTAGAAAATATGAATTTCACTTTTGGAATCTGATTTATTATTTCCTGGGCCTTCACTGATGTGTGTTGGACCTTCAGAGACCTCCAATCTTTGGAGCCATTGACAGTGTAACAGATCCATGCTCCAGTCTATTTGACTTCAGTGGAAATACATAATAATTGCATCTTTATTCCTTAATATTTTAATAGGAGGGAAAGTAGTAAACGTCATTATGCTTGCTAATATTACATATTAAGATTCCAACTGGTACTGAAGGTTCTAAAGGACAAATTTCCAGAATCGGCACCACAGCACTTCAACTGTTCTAAGAACCAAGATAGAGAGACAAAAAGGGTTCAAAAGGAGATTTTTAGATTTATTCCCTGTATTTATTTTTGTCTGTGTTACCATCCGGCAAGTGTGTCATTGACATCCTCCTATTAATTTTTGATGTTCTACTTCTTCCCACAAAGGATTTCAGTTGTAAATTATATTACTCTTGCTAGGGAATCTTTCAAATTGTCTATTGCCGCTCTCCTCCAGAACATATTTCTTCTCTGTCCACTTCTAACATCCCAGCTCTTGATGACAAGATCAAAACATGCATAATTTCCAGGAGCTAAGAATCAGATACTAAAACTGTTTTACTCCATCATTTGCAGTGAAGCATCCAAGTTGCCAATCATTCGGAGCTTCTAGATCACATTGGACAAGGCGCATTGAAATTTAAGACCTATGCATGGAAAATGGAAACAAAATTGTCACAGCAATAACTTCAGGAAGTCTGGCTTGAGCAGCCAGGTGCTATTTTAGGAAAGTGATAGATCCAATGCATCATCACATCTTCCATAGAGACTATTCTGACAATGCCAATGATTTAAGTGCATAAATATAAATACGTAAGTGTCTCCAGACTTTCGTTTATTCACACTAGTTTCAAGCATGTGTGCACTGCAGCTCATTTAACATAGGTTTTTCTCACTTTGATATATGCTCTCCAACTACTCTCATCAAGGGAAGGGTTGCCCAAACCTTTGCTACAGAAGCACATGGATATCACAGATAAAGACCTGAAATACGAAACAAATTGTCATTTCAATTCCTAAACTTCTATCAGTGTCTTGGCTCTTGTACTTTGAGTTTATATTTTCTCTACAATGAAAAAAAAGAGACTCAAGGATACATTTAAAAATTCTCAGCAAGCAGCTTTTATCTGAGGCAGCAAGTTGCATTAGACCTCTTTACGAGTGGGTCAGAGCTTTCCTAGAGGCATTCCTGCTCCAACATGATGAGCCTCAAGTGGTCCCATTTGGTTAGTCTCCACTGTAGAGGGGTCCCAGTCCCAGCTCTGACACACTCACTGTGCCCCCTTAGGCAAATCATTTCACCTTTGCCCTTGTTCTATACACAGGGAAGGTGAGGCCCACCAGCGGCCCATCTGAGAGAGGTGTTGCAAGGCGCTCTCAATTAGACTGAAATAGGGTGGTGTTTTGGTTTATTTTGTTTTTTGTTTTGTTTTTTTTAAATGAAAGGCACCGAACAAGCATTCTTATTGTGCTATTTTAATCACATCACAGCCATAAAACACTCCCAAAAATCCCTTGGTCACTGCAGCAACACCAATGTAAAGTGAGACACAGACAAAGCTCCTCTGTAATCATGCATGACCAATGTGTTAGTCAGAAAGCTATGCATGACCCATGCGCTCACTTCACAGCAAGAGAAACAGCCCTAAGTATCTTCAGCACCAGACACTACCTGTTTGATAGAGCCACAGCCCATGGAAGCACAGCGATTTGGAAAGCTTGCGATCATATTCCCTTAGGGTTCAGTCTGGGCAAATGCAAGCTGGCTGTACTTTACACAGCATGTGTGTGTGTGTTATTTATATTGCAGTAGCACATAGGGGCCCCAAACAAGGACCAGGGCCCCCACTGTGCTAGGGGCTACACAGATTTGTAATGAGAAGACATTCCTTGGCCAGGAGAATTTATAATCTGAAAGCAAAGCTTTTGGCCAAGGTGGGCTTCAAGACTGACTAAATTTAGCGAGTAACACACACACACACACACACCCCGTAACAAGATTCTAGCCGGCCTGCAGGAGAGTGTAAAAAGAGATCATGACATCAACCAATTTAAAATCCGGTGAAATCCACTCTCATTTTTCAAGGAGCAGAAGAGGAGAAATTTCTCTATGGTCTAGCCAGATGGAAGGTGTAATTTAACTCATTAGGATTCTGCATCATTAGTCAGCAATCAAATGCACAATATATTTTCACCTCAAAAGAAGTTGGCTCTTAGTCACATTTATCTACATGCGTTACAGACAAATGTGTCATCTGGCTATTTTATAAGCCACATATCTAGATTCTTTCTAGGCATCCTAAACGTATTTTAGTAATTGTGGAAATATGGGGGGAGGGATAGCTCAGTGGTTTGAGCATTGGCCTGCTAAACCCAGGGTTATGAGTTCAATCCTTGAGGGGGCCATTTAGGGATCTGGGGCAAAAATTGGGGATTGGTCCTGCTTTGAGCAGGGGGTTGGACTAGTTGACCTCCTGAGGTCCCTTCCAACCCTGATATTCTATGATTCTATGATTTATGTGAGCTAAAATGAACTGCCTGCCCCATGTCGATTACTGAATACACAGTACAGTCTACATATGTTAAAAAATTAAGCAGCACTGTTTGACTCACCTCTTTAGCTTTGCTCATTGAGTATTTGAGCACACTGCAGCCTCCAGAGTAATTAAACTGTAAAATTAACCCTTCAACAGGTCAGGTGTTCTGCTTTCTTAGAGGCTAGTTTTGGTAGCTCTCCCTGATTAAAGGAAGAGCAAAACAGAGTCAAGTTCTTCAAATAATGCAGACAACTCACTTGGAGAGATGTTGCACAAGGAAGAATTTAGTTCATTGCCCGGACCGAACCCTAAGGGAACATGATCACAAGCTTTCTAAATCGCTGTGCTTTCATGGGCTGTGGCATGAACCCTAAGGCATCAACAGCTCTTTCATTTAAAGAATTGATTTTTTTTTTAAATATTTCAAACTTATAGCACAACTCATCACATAAAGATGAATTCACCAAGATACCCTGCAAGTTGCAATAATAGACGACAGGAAGGGTTAAGCCAGAGTTCTCTGGATATGGAGACAAAGTAACAGAGTTACATTGCAGGTTACTATGCGTTTCCCTTTAAACTGACTTCTCAATTAAACCTACTTACAAATAGTTTGACTTGATATAATCTGATCTACAGTACACGAAATCCTTAGCTTGTCACCCAGCTACATCCTTTCCTGGGGCAGCCAGCATGACAGGTACAGCGGGCAGAAAACAGCAACTAGAACAAGTTCTCTCTTGGCCCCCTGGCAAGAGCTAATCCTGCATTGATCACGAAGACACTCACATTGCATGGATGTTTATTCACCGCTTCACTAATGCGGCACACAGATTTTGCAGTGCCCAGCTGCTCTTAAGCACTCTGACACCCTGGCAATCATAAAAGCAGACCTAGCCATTCCAGTTTACACATTTACTACTGTGGTCAGAATATAGCAGAAGACCAGGCATCCGGCACACACAAACTGGCTTGCAGCCTGTCATTGCCAAAAAGACATTTGCCCTAAAAATACCCACTGGAATTTAGATCTATTGCAGGACACTAAAATTTCTAGTAGAATGTCAATTACTCCAGTGTGAATGGCCAAGATATTACAAAGCAAACGTTCAGCAGTGTCAGCTAGTTGCATGTCAGCTATGGTTATTTTCTAAGAAACATTTGCTTTCAGCTTGGAGAATGCCAGTGGTGACTATGGAAATGGTTTAGAACACTGGACACGGCGTTCTGACTGACAGGTAGTGGCCTAACCACAGGGCTCTGGCCGACAGAGGCATACGTCCCATCTCCATGGGCATACGTCCCATTTCTCAACAGCAGCAGGACAAGCAGTGCACTTCAAATTAGTTGCATTTTTCCAGCAGATGCAGTTAAGAGTTACTGTGGCTTTGTGCCACAAGAAATATGCTATAAACACCCAGAAATACAGTTGTGATTGATCCAAGAGAAGCAGGTCTGAGGGTGAACAGGTACAAGGCATGCAGAGGCCTGGAAGGCATTTCCTTCTCTAATTAAAGCTCAGAGGCAGATGGCCAGTGACAAAGGGAGCTTGGAACAAAATTGCTGCTTGTTTTTCAACACAAATTTACAGCATAAAATGGAGTCTAATAATTAACACCTACCACATGCCATTCATCCCCAAGGATTGCAAAGTACTTTATAAATGTATATACACAGACACAGATTACCTTTACCCACTACCGAGATACAGGTACCACAGCACAGACCAACATATTTCATATTGGCTCCGTATTAGCTTCTATCAAGAAATTGTAAATATTGCATTCAGCTGAAGCTGCAGAGGAATTTAGAAGGCAGGAGGTAATTGCCAATGTTAGATCGGCATATGCGCAATGTGCCCAGCCATTTGATGGTGTCATCACAGCCAGGCAGAGCAATAGTAGCCTGCCGTCGGAATAAGTCCATGGGGCACTCGCCAAGGATATGAGACAGTCTGAAGTTGACCACAGCTGCGTTGTGGGTCATTAGAAAAACCCCATTGAAAGAGGCTGGCCACACAACTGCCCTGTCCTGTTCGAAATTGGGTCAAAGTTGACCACCAGTGCCTTGGCAGACCAAAACGTGGTGGAC